GTGCTAGGCCCAACCCTGGGCCCATCCAGACTCCAGAGTCACATGATGTTACTGTCTCTACTCAGTTCGCTAAATGCATTCCTTTTAAATTCAAGTTATATTATATATGATTTGTATTAAAAATGAGAGACTAAAAGAAATTTGAAAAGTAAGATAAAGAATATATTGAAGTGTAAATATCAGGATTCTCTTAAAAAAGAGTAATACCTCTGTAGGTTAGATTCTGCTAACGTAAATATAATAAAAAAGTAAGTAAAAACCTAAAATGTAAATATTCTTAAAACTGATTCAAGATTCAACAGATCCCTTCAAAACATTGTTTCCCTAAATTAGTTGAAATTATATTAGTTGTTGCGCATTATCTTATTTTTAATCCTTCAAGTTTCTCAACACTCAAAGCCCTAAAAGGAAAATAAAAAAACTTGGCCTAAATTCCATTTGAGCCCATTTCCTGTCATGTTATCTTAGAATAAAAGATGATGTCATATCAAGATATTCCAGGAATGTTCACAAAGTCAAATGGTTCCCCCAAGAAACCTTTTTGTTGAGATTGGCTCTTTCATCGTACGTCTGTGAGTTGCCTGCTGATGGGTTTCAGGGCTTTCCAAATATGAAGAAACTAAATTTCATATGACACTATGAATCATGCTATTTTCCATTCTGTAATCATATTTAATTGGAAATTGGTGTCAAGTTTTGGAGTCTTCATGTGCTACTGGTTTTAATTAATAGTCATTCAAATGTAATCCAATTTATTTAATCATGTTGAAAACATTTTTAAACTATTACTAAACATGTTTATTGTTATTTAAACAACCACARCTGACAACTTGAAGCGATTAAATACTCAGTGAAATTATTATATGTAAAGCAGATGGATAAAACGACACAAAGAGCCCATTAGYTAATATTACAAGCACGTAAAACAGTAAGAATGGTGAGTCCGAGGTTATGTAGTTTCCAAATTTACCAAAGTTATCTAAAAGGCTTCCATTAAAAAGTGCTGACATGTTCAAAATTGCTGTTTGTTTGTGGTTTTATCATTCCTAATCACTGAACAACAGCCTAATAGCCCCTCTGATTCATACCTAATGAAAGGTGGGAGGTCAGGGGTATCAGCTCACATCTGGCTGCCAGATTCATGTTGAGGATGTGAAAGGATGTACAGCTCAGTAGAGAATTTCCCATAGTTATTAGTTTGTTGGGAAATGGCAGGAAGACGCTTTTGTGAAGAAGGTAATTTGTGAAATAGGTTTGACTCGGCAAACTTGTACGCAAGCGTCTTTGTGTCAATAAATGGACGAACAGTCCTCTGTAATACCAGGTAATCAAGTCTGTAGCTTCACTTAAACCTGCATGTCTCATTCAGATTTGTTTTCCATCAGATCCACAGTTTTCCATTGGAAAACGAGAGGCCTTTGAGATCTTTATTAGGGATCATGAGGAGCATCTAACCGTTGAAGACAACAAGAAAATACTCAAAGAAAGGTTGGTGAAAAGGCTTTAACATACTCCTGAAATAGTAAATAATTTCTGTAAAATACAGTGGGTTCATGGGAACTGTCAACAGACTGAAGCTCTCAAGTGTTCAAACAAAACATCCCTATATATGCACGCAATTATCATTAACAGACAACAGCTTTTGTCTTTTTGTTTTTACACCTCAGGAACTTCCAAATGCTTCTACTCAAGGCTTAAAATACTGTGTGCAAAATATGTCACTTTACCTAAAAGTTGGTTGTTCTGTGACAGTTTTTCAACAGCAAATGTTTCATTTTCCACATTCAGTTGAAATGCTTTTTTTTTAACTAATGTGGTTTATAACATCTGGATTCTCTTTACCAGATCAGCTGAGACCAGAAAACTTGGAGAACAACTGAATGAAACCAAAAACAGAATCAGTAAGTTCCACCAACTGTTTGGAGGTCATCCTCTAGAGATTACAGCATAGTTTGGAACTGAGAATGTGTTTAATTTTGTAAATTACTCAAGCTAATATCCCTACAATTCAAAAAAAAAAAAAACATTAATTACCAGATCATTCTCAGGGTGCTGTGTCCCTGGTGTGTCAGAATATCTTTCAGCGCATTCCTAAACTTTTCCAGGAGCAGAAGGCATTCTAATTTCCATCCATCTACAGTAGCCTTCCAACCTGTATTTTTTACAAGGCTGTCTCTGACTGTTTTATGACGACTCTGTGAGTGCACCCCTGAGTTTTCCAGGAAAGTCACTAACTTACTCGGCCAAAATGAGGCTTGGCATTAAGTTGGAGTGTAATGCTTATTAAATCCAAGTATCTCCACAGTCCGTCTGCTGTGTTTCATCAACACATGCACTGCGCATTCTACATGCACGTGAGAATAAAGTATCTTTTTTATTCCCAACGTGTTTTATACAGGAGCTGATCTTTCCAAAGTCCTAAAACTAGATGACCAATATTACAGCCCATATTACTCTATGTTGCTAATTTGTGACACATAAAACTAAACAAAACTGAAGCAGTGTGTGGAAAAACTTCATTCTTACAGCTTCCATACAAATTAAGCAGATAAGACGCAGCCAGGTGCAGCTGAACAAATTTATCAGACAAATAKTAGTTAACTGAACCTCAGCAAGTATGAGCTTTTTTATCAATGGTTTTCAAAGCAAACATTGAACACAAATGCCAGAATTGGTCCTCCCAGTAAGTTCACCCAAGGACAGATGATTAAGTATTTGGGGGGAAAAGTCCCTTGTGGGCCCAACAGATTTTTAGGGTTATATTAGGTCATTCAGAAGACATTTCTTGCTTGGGTTGAGGTAAAAGAAGATATGTACACTTTATATTTTCATGTGACTAATACACAATGAATAACTCTTTTAATTTACTTTTTGTTTCTATTAAATTAGATAAATAAGATTAAATTCAGCAACACCTCACAGAATTATGTGGYAAAATGTCCTTTAATAAGTGACAAAATGTTTTAAATTAAATTACAATATWTCCTTACAGCTTTTTACGGCAGTAAAACAAGTTTTTTTAGATTTCTGTCTGGTTTGCGATTTCTACTGCATACCAAATTTATGATTTTTCATGGACTAGCTCATTTTACATGCTGTTGAAATGGATATGTTTGCTCAGAGCCTGGCATCACCGTCGCCTCAGAGTGGTTTKGTAGCATTCATTCATTTCCCTCGTATATGCCAGCGTGCATTTATAACCATTAGAATTGATTTTATTTTCTCCTTTCACCCCATGAGGTGCTGACACAGCTTTATATCTTCTGCATCACCAAAAAAAAAAAGAAAGAAAAGAAATCAGCTCTGACAGCTTGTAGAGTATTAACTCTGCACGTGCAGCTCAATGCTGCCCACACACTGTGGATTTAAAAAAAAGTCAAACGTCTGGATAATTTTCTTGGTTGGACTTTTAGAAACCATATTTCATTTTTTTTWAATTGACATTTCGAAAAGGTTTTCCAAAACATCTTAGTGCTGTCAAATATTATYACGCTGTTAGACGTATGGAGCTGCATTCTTTTTGGATGAGGAGGTGTTTTTAATGGAAGGTGGTTGCTTCTCCTGGCTTGTTAAAAGAACCACAATGTTGAACTCGGTGAGTTTCTTTGCCATGCTGGAGGYCCTGTTTGGACAGTATTTACCACCTGTGTTCTTGTTGCTAATGCAGATCGTGGAAAGCGTTAGCATAATATAGACACCAGCGTTCTCTGATGGAGCTACCCAGCATGGGGGTCAGTAGCAGGGGAGAAAGGGAGAAGTGGTAGCCCAAGGAAACATCAKTGTGTAAACATTTTCTTGGTTTATACTATTGTTCTTGGCTATGACATATGGCCCTGGAATCCAATCCCAGTGGAAGAGTATAGGTTTTGAGCCCATAAGTCCAGAAAGTGCAATGGTTTCTATTAGTTCAGAGGGATCAGTGATGCACATTTTCAGGCTGTATAAAAGGTGAGCAACAGCTGGAAACAAGCAGCATCTCCAAATGACTCCACCAGATGTTCCAGGATTTATGCAGCATAGTTTTAGGTGGAACATCTGTTATCTGTTTAGTTATCACACATTGCTCATCTTTACCGAAATGACCTTTAGGCTCAGGTCTGTTAGACTCAAATGTATGCCCAAGCTCTTTGGAGATCAAATATTGCTGAATAAAATATACTTTATGCATCACAGACCCTTTGAAAAGGTTGTTGATTGACTTTTTTTGCGTTCCTAATGTTGCAGATGAGACAGTTATTTAGGCAGCAGGCTCATAAACACATCTGTCCAATAAAAGCAGGAAATGTTTAGCAGTATTTCCCAGTTAGCATCAACAACATCTCATGCTGTTTTCATACTTGTAGAGCTCAAATTTGTTAATTTTCCTGTGCGGTGGTTCTATCTTACGAAGTAAAATTTACGGTGTAGATCGGCATACATTATGAATTGGTTTGCATATTTATATATTGTGTAATTTTTAAAATTCCTTTGTGGGTTCATGCTACACATCATATTTAAGTCCCAGGCCACAAAAAGTCCCAGAGCCTTTTACTGAGGCTTGTTGCTTGAAACTTGTCTGCAAAGATGATTGTCCGTCGCTTGATGGTGTGTGAGAAAAGTCGGTGTGGTTTTAAGAATGATGTGGTGCTGAGCCCTCGGTCTTGTCTTGGAAGGGGACTTGGAGCACTGAAAACGTAATGAAGCATTGCCACAATCAGAACTCACCCTATTATTAGTTGACACGCAAGCAAATTTATTGGACTTACATACCATCTGAAAAGGCTGTCCTGTTACAAATCATCACTGCGTGTTCTAGAGTTGTTAATGTAGTCATTTATAAAAAGGCGCCAAAGAATTCACAGCATTATTTCTGTTACAAACAAATATTAGTGTGTCCAGGGCTAAATGACCCACAAGATTTCATTTTATATGAACACGTGTCAATAAAACACCCTGAAGATGAAGAAAGAAAGAACTGTCTGCGTTATTTAGCACAGTAATTGTGTCAAGACAGACTTGGGGGTGAAATTGGGGGCAAAAAAAGATTATGTTCTGTATGACTAGAAGTGCTTCACATGACGTATAGAGAAGCCAACCTTCAGCCTTAAAACTGAAGATTGTTTTGTTGTGACCTTAAAGCTTTCAGATTGTTTATTTACATGCCATGACTGACTTAGCCTGTGTCCAAATTCAGAGGCTGGGTCCTTGGTCGACCTCGAGGACCAGACAAAAAGTGGCTGTGAATTTGGATGATCTAGCCTCCTCCTTACTCCGGTGTATGTCCTGTGGCCTCGTCTCAGAGTGATGATGCTAAACAGAAGAAAAACAGATTAAAATTAGCAAAATATTAATATGTCTTGATGCGTCTCAGTAATCCAGGTAGAAAAAATCAAAAAAGAAAAAATAAGTAGGTCCTCTGGATGGGTTCTTCTTTAGTGAAACGTTTCGTCTCTCCTCCAAGAGACTTCTTCAGTCTGATGAGTTTCAGGTGAACTCAGCCTTATAAGCACTGCCTCCACCNCTTCTTTAGTGAAACGTTTCGTCTCTCCTCCAAGAGACTTCTTCAGTCTGATGAGTTTCAGGTGAACTCAGCCTTATAAGCACTGCCTCCACCTGGACAAACAGGTTAGTCACATGCATAAGAGGGCCATCGCCTAACAATAGGCTTGATTAGCTCTATTTAGACTCTTTTTCATGTGACCAAATAGAGCTAATCAAGCCTATTGTTAGGCGATGGCCCTCTTTTGCAAGTGACTAACCTGTTTGTCCATGTGGAGGCAGTGCTTATAAGGCTGAGCTCACCTGAAACTCATCAGATTGAAGAAGTCTCTTGGAAGAGAGACGAAATGTTTCAGTAAAGAAGAACCCATCCAKAGGACCTACTTATTTTGTCTTTTTTGATCAAAATATCAATAGTATTATTAATATCACGAAACAACAAAAATAGCTTGAAGTCAATATTTGATGAACTAAGGGACTCGTCGTACGTGCATGTTTGTTTTGCTACACCAACTCGTTTGATTTCTGATGAGAATAATATAAAAAAACATGTCTAGACAAAAGCATTAACAACACATATTTTTATACTGCCAGAATATTACTTAAAAATGTACTCCTTTCTCTCACTTTGTCCGCCATTACGAGGAGAGAAAAAAAATCTCCAATCGGCTCGCAATGCATTATGGGATAGGGTGGGCCAAGAAGGATCCATGTGACCCGTCCTTCAAATCGGGGAAAAAGGAGGACGTACTTGTCGGCCGCATTGGAGCAGCCTTCAAATTTGGACAGCCAAATTTGTGCGGCGCTATGACGTCATATGCGGCCGACGACTACAGCCTTCGGAGGACTCAGCCTTGTGCTAGTATTGCTCCAGAGACCTGGTTTAAATGTTTCTTAATCGCTTCATCCTGCGTTGAAGAAGTAGACCCTACATCAGTTGATTGTGGGCGTGCTTCAGAGAGTTGTGTGTCTGTTGGAGACGACTCAAGCTGCCTACCTGACCACAAAATGAAGCCGCAGGGCGTCTCAGTTCATTTACATTCTCAGCTACCCAAACATATGGCTTCATGCAAGGTTCCCAAAACCTCTGCTTCAAACTTCATAGACATTTTGGAAAAGCGCTCCCATCATGGGCATGATATGTCTTTCTGTGTCACGTATAATATTTCACTTCATCCGTTCACGTCTCCAGTGTCTACTGAAATCCACAAAGTGGTCTAGTTTAAAGGAACGTGCTGTGTGATGAGTTTGGAAAGATGAGCTGGTTGCATGGGCACTCTGCAAACAGTTTGAACAAAAATGTATTTTGGGAGAAGAGAGTTGGCAAAATACAAACTTGGAGGTTTGAAGATTTCATAATGGTGTGTTTATGTAGCATCGACAATCAACATTCAAAGTTAAAGGTTTAAAATTAAGAATAGCTTTTTTTAGTATAACAGGAATAAGATGTTCACTATGTGTGATTATATTATTATTATTTTATTCTAGATGAGTTGAAGAAGCAGTTACAGTTGCGGAGGAAACAGATGGCAGCTCATGGTAAGATGTATATAAATAGTTTTTTTAATCCAWGCCAGTATTAAAAGCTGTGTCCAGTATATTTAACATGATTAAAAGCTAAATCATATGAACAACTGTAATGATCCAACATACATTTATATTTGAACTTTTCACAGAGTGGAAATGTTCTAGCATGAGAACTTAAAATGCACAAACCAAAGTTTGAACRTCAAGTCTGAACCAAGTTGTTACTACTGGAAACTTTTTTTAACATCATCTTGATGCTAAGCTCTCATCTGAAAGGGTTRTAAACACTGAATAATGTGGCTGCTTTTGTTCTGCATCAGTGGCCACTTCAAAGTTTCCTCATGAGATCAAACTGACGAAGACAAAGACAGAGCAGCACAACTCCAGGACTCCTTCATTTAATCTCTTCTGGCTGTTTTGATTTGGTCATAAAACACACACACACAAAAAGAACCTCTTTCCAATCCAGACTTTGAAAATCTTATTATTTGAATCTCAGCATCCGAGGGTCTGTTTTTTTTTTTTAAATCAGGGGCCAGAAGTTTAGTTTCCTTGAAAGGAAATACACATCTGTGAAAACATATTAGTCAATAAATTTAAAGCAAAAATGTTGATTGTATTTATGTTTTTGTCTTGAATCCAAACGTCTTTCTGTCTTTAAACCCTGTGCAAATAGATTTGATGGAGAATCGCACACAGGAGGAGTTCGACCCTGTGGAAGAAAACCTGCGCAAACAAATTAAAGAAGAAAAAACAGCGTGAGTTTCAGAATTTACGCACTCAATATTTGTTTTTTTTCTTTCTCCCGAGTCTGTTCGGATTGACTGAACACAGCAGGTGCTCTGCGTAACGTAGACAAAAAATAAATTTTGTGCTGCTGAAATCTCCTGTCAGTTACAAGAACACGTTCGGGCGCCTAAAAGCGCTGGGGACAGAGATTGAGCATCTGCAGCTGTTGTTGGAGAGGGTGAAGGTCAAGATCCAGAAAGATTTCCAGAAGTGGTGGAGCCAGGAGGCTTCTGATCTGCAGGTGACTGACCTCACTTCTGTATGTGTGACAGCACCACATTAATCTTTTAAGATCCTGACATAACGACAGCACAAAGAGAATAGAATAGAATAGAATAGAATAGAATAGAATAGAATAGAATAGAATAGAATAGAATAGAATAGAATAGCCTTTACTGTCCCGCAGCGGGTAAATTCAGGTGTCACAGCAGCATCAGTACAAAGGTTCACACACTAGTTATTTTACAATCTATAGATAGTACACACAAAACAAATTAACACTTACCAGCCATGATACAACCACTAATAATAAAAATAAAAATATAATATGAAGAATTGTGCAAGAATAGATAAACGATGTTTTGTTTCAGAATCCAATATTCGAAATCACAAGTTTCCTGTTTTGAGTGCAAAAACAATCCCAACAGACCAATAACTGTAAAGTGAAGTATCACATTACAGACAAGAAACACAGATGTGCAATTACAGCAGAGTATAGTGCAAATGATTGTTCGGTTGAGTAATTACAATGAATAGAAACAGTCCGAAATTTAGACTGTTAAACGGTGTTGCAGCAGCAGGTGTTTAAACATTGTGATTTTTGTAAACACTCATTGAGATATTTGTAAACACTTATTGGGATTTTTGCTAACACTTATTGTGAATTTTGGGCGTGGTGCCRGTWATAGAGTCTGACAGCTGCTGGGAGGACGGATCAGCGATAACGCTCTTTGATAATGATCTTCTGATATTAKATTTGTCTCTTTGTTTTTATGAATATATTCTTTGCATATTGGTCTTCATGGACATCTTAAAATATGTTGATCTATGGATCTTTGATTTTGGAGGCTTTTGTTGTACAAGTGTGTCAAATTTAAACCTTTGCTCAATATCAAGCAAATTTGGACTGGGTGGAAAGAAATGTAGGTGAAAAATCCTTTTTTTATGAAAATCCAATAAAACAGGACTTCACCAGTAACAGAGTGTATAATAAAATGACTCATTGTCTATTTTGGTCTAATATACAAAAGCTTGAGGAGAGAATGGTTGGCGAAAARGCCATGTGTAACACTGACTCACAAAGACGCCTCTGGTTTTTGCTGGTTTGTGCACTTTTCACAAAAAAAAGATGTTAGGACATCTGAAGAACAGACGCAGCTGGCTTCTGCTCTTTGGTTTTGATCGTMTGAATGAAGCAGAATATTTCACTCACATCTGTTTGGAAATGTATCACTGAAAGTCCAATGGTTAAAAAAAGGAAGTCTGACAGATGGGCCTTACACGTGCAGCATTTGGTTCGCAAAGCAGGAAGCAGATTTCTTTGTCTTGCCAGTCTGTGTCCAACAGCTTTGTTCAAGTATTTATGGCAGACATGTACTTGTTTAGCACTGTTTAAGATGTAGGATGAACTAATGAGCCCAAATCAGAAGTCCTCTGTTCATTTCTGTGTTTTGACGGAGATATAAATGTCTGTCATTTCGCAATACTTGTGATTAGGAGTCTGAGTTGGGAGCTGCAGCCAGATGTAACGCAGCTTCATCAAACGGATCCTTGCTGCCATCTTCACCTGGCACTCCAGGATTTTGGTGAGATGATTTTATTTCATCCTGCAGCAGATTAACTGCTTTATTGAATTACTGGAGATGCATTATTTATCTATTTTTCATCACAAAATAACACAAATTCCTGATTCATTTGCTACAAATGGTTGTGGTCAAAAATTTCACAAACTAGGAACATTAAATAAATGTAAACAATTTTAGGTGAATTATGCTTTCACTAATGGGACATTAAATGAGAAATGAATATATGGATTTTTTTTATTTCCCATCTTCAAAAACAAATCAGTGAATCAGATTTTCTAATCAGAATTTGACACAGAAAATACATTAATAGAAGAGCATTATTCTGTGTTAAAACAAAAAATGTTTAAACCTCATGAYACTTTAGCACAAGTAAAAACATACTATGAAGATAGTTTCAACTTCAGCTGTCTGTTACAATAAATGTAGCATGACTGGAAATTGAAGTTGAGAGGAAATAAAAAACACAAAGGCTAAATCTCSGTCGCACTTAAGTGGGAAAATGATAACCTTATTTTCTTTCTGAACTGTTCACTGATAGTTATGTTTTTGAGTATGCGTTAATGTTGGACAGCCAGATATGTGCTGTCAAACAAGTCAAAGTGATGTATTTCCAAAAATATCCCTTTTAAAAGAAAGCGGATGTGTCGCTGAGTTTACATTTTCTTTTTCTCTGGTTACACTCAGAAATCAGCCAATTTACCAGGAGAAAACACATCCTCTCACTTGACTCATTCCTGCTCATTACATTATATTATTTTTACCCTCTCTYACCATCTGTGCTTGAAAAATCACTCAGTTATTCCACAACAATCCGCAGCACTTTTGTGCTTGTTTCCATGGAACACGTATCGATTAATGGTCTGCCTTTGGCCGGCACTGTGTTTGTTTACTTTGTGACGTAAGTGATGTTCATAAGATGAGTGATGACAAAGGTGGCATTTGTCATCCCAGATCTTATGTCAGATGCCATAGCATAGTCATAGAAAACAATAAGATGATTTGTGCCTAGACTTTACCATAAAAAGGTTTGAAAAGTAATCATCAAAGGAGTTAGAACAGTGTGAAAAGCAATAAAAGTAAAAGTAATACTACTACTACTACTGCTGCTATACATTGGTTTGAACAGCATCATCGTGTTACACTACAGATAATAGATGAATTCTATTTTCTCAAAAGGTTTAAAGTTTCATTCTGACAAACCCACATTAACCTCACCTTYATGTTGTAGCTCCCTCTTGTGGTTAAGAGAAGTGCATGCACAGAGATAAAATATGCTTTATAAATATTCCAGGGTTTATTGCAGAGGTTCTCAAACTGGGGTCCCAGAACCCCCAGGGGTCCACGAGCCTTGTCTTGGGGGTCCTCAAAAACTTTTCAATCAATTTTTAATTCAGTTTTTATTTTAAAATTTGCATACACGGAACAATGCACAAGTA